ACGATCGGGCTAAACGACCGACCTGCATAGCACGGCAATTTTCAATCAGGTTACCCAGTACACGCAGACAGAGAGAGAAAGAGAAAGAAAGTGAAACGTATTTAAGAGAAGCAGGATAAAAAGGTAATGAGAACTAGCATACGCGATGAAAATGCGGGTGGGGGGATATTAATAAGGCCGCTTATTTCGTTCTGGTCGGCGCTACGCTACAAGCGAATTGAAATGAATTTTCGCTTTGCTGCGATCTGTATACACATACGCAGGCAGCACACACACGAGCGCGAAACATCCCTTTGACATCGCGCCAGTACGTACGCCGTATACGTATATAGGTGTATAACCAAGCGCGCGCTCAAGCGCCCCAGAAACGAGTAGATAGCGAAGCGACGAGTTTACGCCAACGTTACGAGTGCGCGCTATTATGGCCCGAGCCTCCGAACGAGCTGCTCGAGGGTCGTATTATGGCTGCTGCTGCTGCTGCTGCTGCTTCTTCGCATCCAAAATTCACACCGAAACGCGTCCTTCTATATGCATTGCGGCGGCTGTAACCCGTGCGGCACATTTGTTGTAAGCTTACTACACGCGCGAAAAGACATGCGGAAAAAGTCGTTGAATGCTGCGTTGTAGTGCTCGTTTATTTCGAGTTTACGACCGATACGAATGAACAATTCACGCCTGTGTGGCCAACGATGGCAAGAATGCTTTTACGGTAATTTCCACGTACTTGGAAATGCCGCGCATCCGGTAATGGTTGTAAAAATCAACCTTTAATCGCATGATTGAAAATTAGTATTACATGGCTGCAATTAGGTTTGTTGACAAAAAAAATCAACTTTTGAGCTTGAGCAAATAAACGTGGGTAAAATTCAAAGACGGTAGAGTGTAAGTGGGATATTTACTCAATGTATCGACGAGAGGCTATCGTAATTTGCTGGACATTTGCCAAAAGGATATAACTCGTGCAAGTAGCACGATATTTTTCCTTTTATTTTCTTCATTTTTTTTTATAAAATCTCACGAAACAAGTTACCTAATTGTAAATTATCGCAAACGCGTAAATCGCTCGTGATTTCACGATATAGACTCGATATTTAAAAACGCATACTTGCACGAGCTATCCCAAATAGTATGAAAAACTTTCAAAAGTGCACAGACGCGCCGTGCAGAGTTAAGTTAGAAACAAGTTCTGTAATCGTGCGAAAAAAAAGCAATAGCTCTATAGCAAAAGCTTGTTTTTCATAAAAAGCCATCGACTCCGGAAAACTATGCGATTTCGACAAAAAATACCATCCCACCCCCCGTGACTTTGTCCTGTATATAGAAGCGAAATTCATTGAATAATGTTCGACGTACGTATACCGGCCAATCGATGGGAAACTTTGGTTTGCCAAAAAAAAAAAAAAAAAAAGAAAGAAAAGAAAAGAAGCTGAAGGAAACTCTATAAACACTTTGTGTAATGTACGACCGCGTCAAAGAGAAACTTTACTTTACGCCCCCGCTATATTTTCGACCTTTACATTAAAAAAAAACATATAAACTATCTTTCTATTTAAAACCTTACAATTTGATGAAATTTGGTCTATGTTACTCAAAAAGCGTCAGTTTCAATTTTTCAATAACTCTTCAACAATTCGCAAACAAAAATAAAACTGACACGCGTACGTCACGTTTTGTGTATTGCAGATGTCGTGTGGCGTCAACCAGCGAGCAGCGTCAAACTGGTAGTAGCAGCAACAGCAACAAGCAGCATTGCAGAGGCAGCAAGCAATGAAACCATCAATCAACAAAGCGACGTCGACGTCGACGCGTCGGCACTTTCACCCGAGGCGCTCGAGCTCGCGCACGAGCGATATCGCCGATTGATACCCTACATGACTTACTACATGCTCAACAATTACATCAATGGTCAGCAGCAGCAACAGCAGCAGTCGTCGGCTATCGACGGAAGTCCAGTGGCGGTAGCCGCTAGACCTCGTCAGCCATTGAAACAGCAACAGCAACAACAACATCAATTTGCGACTGCGGCGGTACACAGTCAATCCGTTCAAATAGTCAACAAGGGCGGCGGTAGCAGATACAAAGAGAGCGGCTTTGTGCCTTCGGTGCAGTACGACCCGAGAGAGGTGCGACCTGCGCCCCAGCAGCAGTCGGATTTTTTCCTGCCCCTGAGGTATAGTAGCCTCGCGAAGAAGCAACAACAATCCCCGCTGCCACAGATTTACAATGGGTATGAGGTAGCGGCACCGACACCCAGACCACCCGTATCCGCGTGAGTTTTTTTGCTCCGTAACGCGTTTTTTACCCTCGCACGAAGCAGCTGCAGTGGTCTAACGGGAAAATGAAATTTTAATTTTACAGAAATCCAGTCGAAGTTCGTTACGTGCAGCAGCAGCAGCAGCAGCAGCATCACCAGGCAACGCCGGCTGGAGCTTTTCATCCGGCGGCTTTTTTGACCAGCTCGCAAAAGCCGCAACATGTATCAGCGGCGCCGGCTAAGCTGTTGCACGAAGATTACGGTCCGGTGGAAAACTTCGAGTCGGTGCGTTACGTTTCGTCGAGTCCTGCGCCGCCGCCGCCGCCACCCGCAGCAGTAGAGACGCTTAAATCGCGACTGCCTCTGCCGTTGCCTCAGGCACCCCCATTGTTGCAACGTTATCCGGCACCGGTGCTTAGGCCACAACAACAGCTACAGCTACAGCAGCAGCCAGCTCTAGTAAGACTCGACATAAATCAAGTGCTCAAAGGGCTGAGATTGACTAGTCGATTGCCCGAAGTATTGACTAAAGACAATGTCGACGGCAATATAAAAACACTCGTGGAAATTTTACGGATACTCGACGCGGGCAAGAGAGATCGATATCAACCAGGTTAGTCTATACGTAGTTTTTCTCTCGTTCTCTGTGTTGACTTTGTCAACAACTGTCCAAGTATTATATGCGTTTGAAATTGAAACTTTTTAGCTCACGCCGCCGTCGTGCATGACAAATACAGAAGTAGCGCGCACGCAAAACCTCAAGTTATAACCGAATCCAACTACCAGGCAACTCAGTTTTCCGCCGTGACACCTCACAACGAACTACTGATGGAATCGCCGCACCGCCACTACCACCATCACCACCAGCACTCTCCAGCAGTAGCGAATCGTTACATAAGCCAACATAAAGTTCCGATTCTGCTGCCGTCGCGAGGCGAGCAACCGTCGTCGTCGTCGTCGCCCGCTGTAAGACCCTACTTTGCCGAGATTAAATCTCCGATGGCAGCGGTGGTGGTGGCGGCGGCGGCGCCGCAGCGCAGCAACAGCGAGCAAGTGGTCGAGATTAAGCCGGCCAATCGTTACGTTACGCTGGCCGCCAGCGCCGTACAATTACCACCCCAAGAAAAAGCGGAGCAAGTGGTCGAGATTAAACCTGTCAATAGGTATTTGGCGCAGATAATAAAAAATCAGACCACCGCCGTGGCGCAGGCGACGCCGCCCGCTGTAGTGCCAACAACTGAAACTCCCAGTACGGAGAGCAAGGATATAGTCGAGTATTACGTGCCAGTCGTTCAGGACATAGACGAGGGTGTTACTTATTCCGCAGGTACATTTCGACTTTTTATAATGTCAAGTAATTTGCTGATTAACGAAATTATAAATGCCTTTTTTAATTCTTTAATCAGATAAGGAACGCGTAATTTCTCCTATCCGAACGGAAACAACGAGAAATAATTACGAGGTTCCCAAGGCTAATGACGAAATACTAGAGGACGAGAAATATACGATACCAATCAGCGCGGAAAGGCCACAATATAATTTACCTATACAAGTTCAAAACATTCCGCCACTACTCAAGTACGGAGCTACTAGAGGGAAGCCACATGTTGACTATCCAGCTTATACGGAAATCCCAGAAACCGACTTCAGTTGCAAGAAGCAAAGGTACAAAGGATTCTTTGGCGATCCGGATACTGGCTGCCAGGTAAACAATGTTTATGTAATAACGTAATGAAGGTATGGAAATTATTCGAAATACTTTTTGAAACGTTTCAGGTTTGGCACTACTGTGATTTGAATGGAGGAAAATCGTCGTTTTTGTGCCCAAATGGCACAATATTTAGTCAAGTTGCATTGACATGCGATTGGTGGTTCAATGTCAAATGCGAATCAACGATGCAGCTCTATGTATTGAACGAAAGACTTTACAAGTACATTCTACCAATAATGCCTAAATTTCCTGAAGATTTTATGGGACCAGAGGTTGATAAGTATCTCGAACTAAAATTCAAAGAAATGGAAGAAAAGATGAAAGAAAAAAAACAAAAAGCTCAAGAAGAAGATAAAGATAAAAATTTTGTCAATACCTTACAGTCGATTGAAGATTCAAAAAAATAATTTCTGTAGCTTGATAAGTAATTTCCTTTTCCAGCTGAATCTCATTATAACAGTTTGAAAATTTATTGCAATTAGTATGCAACTAATTTATATCAGTTAAGATATATCATTAATTTTTAAATTAATGATTTGAAAATACCTTCGTAACTTATAATTGAAAATTTTGCCATTTACATGCGTAAAAGTGTAATAGATGTTAATAAGCTTGAATGAAAGAGATTGGATGCAATTCACGAGCTTAAGATTGAATGCAACAGAACGCATTTTCACTAGACCTCTAGTCATTTTATTTTTAGAATTGATTACTAAGTAACTTTTTTATGCCCAATTCTAAAACTAATTCTGTCGTAAAGAACTGTAGAGTTTAGACTTTAATAAAAATTTATAACATTGAGAGATGTGAATAACACGTTTATTCATCTAGCGATACTTTTTTTTATGAAAATATTTTTACCAATATGCATACATTCAAATGAAGTAATGTGTAAAAAAAAGTCATTATAATTTTTTTTTAAGAAAAAAATATTCAACTTCAAAGTATTTATAAAATTGTTTATAAATATTTATTAACTTATCAATAAAAGATGTCAACACATGAAATTTAAAAAATTTTTATAAGACCACATACCTTTAAAGCTAGATGAACTCTTTGTTTGGTGTCCTGCATACTATCAAAGGCGTCCTGATAGTCAGGCAATAATTCTTCATTCTTTGAGAAAAATATCAAATTAGTATGCTCTACTCATTTGCTGTACATATAAGAAATACATTATCATTACCTTCTTTGAAATGGATATAAGTTCACAATCCTTATGAAAATCTAGTCCGCAGTCAGAGCATACATTTTTGTCACATTTTTTACAATGATACTTTGCTTTTTTTTCATCTGAACAAGGGCAATATAGGTTATCGATCAACTCAATGAAATTTTTATTTAAATTGACTATAGTATGATTCTGCAAAGCAACGCGATGTAACTGAAATGCAAAGAAAAATTAATATCAACAATTTGAGTTGGAAAACAATAAAAATTTTCAAAATACAAACCTTTGCAGCACAGTTGCGACAATAATTTTTATCACAAGAAATGCAATTTTTTTTAGCTGGCATTCCGCATTCATGACAACATCCTGTAAAAATCATTTGTAATAATTAATTTATTCGGTGACAAATTTTTATCATTTAATAATCCATTAACTTCATGAAATGAATATAAGGAATAAATATACAAACCATCTTGAATATTCACAGTTGGTAATGGTCTTGAAAAAGATACATCTGGCTCTTCGTAATTTAAGAGTGGGGCTGCTTTAACAACATTCAATAATCCAATCATGTGCACATTGTAAGGCAATTTTTTAATGGCTGCTGGATCATAGTTGATGTTACACGAAAGGCACATTATTGGGGTTTTAGAATTTCCACATTTTATACATATTGCGTGACTGCAAGGCAATAGCAGTGGTGCGGATTGTAATTTCAAATCTGAAACATAAAATAAAAAGGAGATGACGTTATAAGGGTATCTTAGGAAATCTAAAAACCAAATCCAATGCACAGTTGATGACGTTCGAAGACATGATTTTTCGAACGAAAGCAGAGAATCCGCTAAATGCAAATTCAAATGATTCGATCGAACGCGGCTAGTAACGTTTGCAACGATCATTCGAATTACAGATAGCTCGCTTATCGATTGTTTTTTTAATTTACACATGTACATGCAACGAGCATAGAGAAACTCAAAAAGAACGCGAACTTTAGGAATCTTTGGCTTTCTTTAATCAGTGTTCGAAAACAAAGAAACGACGAGTTTCAAACGAAAAATCGAACGCTCTACTACCTTTTCCAGTGATCAAGTGAAACTTGTAATTGCAAACTGTGCAGGTCAAATCCTTGGGCCTGACGCTCGGTATGGTGGCGGCATATTTTATCGGATGGCTCGTCGAATGGTACTGCAGATGATTCAGATGCTTGGATTTATGCTTGTGCTGCGGTTTTTGATGTTTGAACATGGTCGAGGTGGCCGTTGCGTTGCTCATCTGGCCGAAGGGCACCTCGTTGCTGCTCGTGCTGCTGCAATGCCGCAACATGACGACGGAACAGAACACACAAGGTGGTTTTTTTGTCGCACCGACTACTGTACGCGCGAAAGCTTTTGTTCGGAATGATATATACACTACTGCACTGAAAACACTCGCGATTAAAGAAAAACGATTGAAGAAAACTACGGATAAAACCTCACTACACGATTACGGGAACGTTGAAAGTTTTCGACTGTATCTTGCACCGAATGAAAAAGAGCGAAATGCCCACGTCTCGAGGTTCACTCACTGCTGCTGCTGTGTAAGAGACGAAGTGCAGGCAAGGACCGGCAACGAAGGAACACAACGCATGTAGTGCTCGGAAGCATAGATGGACAGACACACATAGACGAACGCGCGCGCACACACACAAAACAGCGCCAATGTCCAAGTAAAAAACAAATTTGCCGAACTCACGGCTGCTGCTGAGTACGGTTGAGCTGCTCAAGTGCGAATGCGTGATACCTAGATGGACGTGCAGATGACTCGTTGGTCCAACACTGAGTGTCGTCTATCGTACTCGTGTGCTGCGTTGGTGTACGAGCGAGCGAGACGTTCGACTTTTTAAATTTTATGATTCGAGACGTCCAATCGCAGGGCTTCGAACGCTCGAAGCGGTGTGAATTTGCACGCGTAACGCAACGTCGCGCGCCACGAGACTTCAGACTGTACTGCGCGCGAGTGTGTATTTTATAACCCACTGCCCAAGTGACCGAGACAAAGGAATGTAAACAAAACTCTGCAGATTAACTCTCTCGATGTGTCTCGTAAAGTGTCGAATTATAACGGTATAATGCTGTTCGATTCGAACGACCCTATCGAAGAAATAAAACACACGCAGATACGTCGGCAAGGTGAGTCAAGTTTTAATGGATTATTATTATAGAAATAGGTCCTTTTTCTTCGACATTCGAATATACGTTAGACAGACGTTATCGAAGTCGAGTTGCCGCTGCCACTGCTTATAAAGAAGCAAAAGTTGTTTTTCTTGCGCTGCAGTTGAGCTGCGAGAGTCGATGCGATGATGGGCGGCGTTGATGCCGAGCAAACAACAACACGTCTCTATAAATTTTATCTCGCGAGATGCGGGTAAACAGCAACGTATTAAGCAGCAGTTAGCAGTGTATAGTTTTCGATGCAGCAGAACATCAAGCGTTTAGAGCAGCAGCACCGAGAGAGTAGAGCAAATTAACGCGGGCTTTGCTCGCTGCATTCGAAGCCTTAGGTATATTACCTACCTAGAAGACGCGTCGGAGCTGCAGCAGCAGTCTATAACATTCGTGCATATTATGCCTTGGCGTATTTATAAATACTATTAATAATACGCGTAAAGAGCTCCTGCCGCTGCTGCGGATCCTCTTTTCGTTCAATGGTTTTAGCCTCGAAGTTCGTCCATTTGCGTACGCGCGCGGGGGGCTTGTGTATTCTAAACTACGCTCCTCTACGTACATAATACAGCGTGCGATGTATCAAAGGATACTTGATAACCTTTTTGTAATGTACGAATGATGCTATATACGCTTGAGAAAAAACAGTTCGAGTCGCGAGATAGAGAGGCAGCAACCTCGTGTGCTGTGCGCGATGCCGTTGAGTCGCGGCTGCAAGCTTCGAGCTTCTATAGCAGCGCTTTGCCCCGTGCACTTGTACGTGTATCGTGTTAATTAATTTACTAGAAAAAATTTTCAAGCCCGTACTGAGCGTGTATCGGGGAAAATTCAAGTTGGCTTTGCGCTGAATCATCGTGCATGCAAGAAGGGATGTTTTGTGATATTATGCGAATATAATGAGACGTTTTTTTCTTATCGCGACGAATCAAAATGTTGTAATCTAATTTATTTATTTTTTGCTGAACAGCAATCGCATTAGGTCACATTCTTTTCTCTTAATAATGAAAATGTATCACGTCCCCGCTATACACGATGACTCGATAAAATCTCACTTCATTGCATCCTTGATGAAAACTCCGCGTCGCGTCTTGCGCGCGTATTTACGCATTTTCGTCTCGTGCGTAGTCCCAGGTAAAAAAAAAAGGATAAAAACTACGGAAAATTCTTATCTCGAAATTTTTGTGTTTAGACACATGTATATAATAGAAAAAGGAGCCGCAGGTGTTGGATGGAAAATAGCGCTTGGAGGAATTTCACACCAAAAATTCTATACACTCTCGAGCCCAACTCGCTCTCTGTGCCTCGGCAATGTTTCTGAAGCTCTCCTCTTCCGAAGCGCGGCATATCCTAAAAGCGGCCTCGGCGCAAGCACACACACACATATAGAAGAGACTCGCGCGTCATTTTTCATCCTTTGCTTGCTTGCGCGCGAAAAAAAGATCGTGTCGCTGTGATAAACAAGATTCCGTGGGATCCGTATTTAATATCTAAGCCGGCAGCTAGAGCTCTCCTCGACGGCTACGGTGGTGTGTGCGCACCGCCCGGCACCCACCTTATTCTCTCTCTCTCTCTCTCTATCCTCGTGCCTTCACCTTTTTAAGGGAATTTTAATATTCACGAAGTATCTTGAAACTCGCTCTCTCTCTTCATCATATTCCGGGCAAGAGCCTGAGAGGGAGAGAAGCTGGGCTACGTGCGCCGATGACGACGACGACGACGAGGTGTGTGGTACGCGCGTAAAGAGTGAAAAAGAAGAATAAAGATGTATATTGTATATTTACAAAAGGGAAAAAGAGCCAAGGTTCGTAGTACTAAAAACGACCCGTTTTGCGACTATACGCTACATCGACGTTTGCTACAACGTTATATTTTTTACTTCCTTCTCTTTATTCCCTTCTTTTTTTTTTATAAATGTTTGCTCCGAGCTGTAATTTGATAATGTAGCGTACCGTGTGTTTTGGACGAAGCTCCGGCAATTTATTAAACGGAAATGAACCTTCTTTTACTTTTCATATTTCATTTTTGCTCTCTGAAAATGATCAGTCGCAAATGTATATATCGTTGTATATACCTACGATAACCCCTGCAGCTCCGGCTAAACGAACTTCACGCGTGCATATTTGCTGGTGGTCGCGCTCATTCGGCTTGTAGCTATATCACGTGGAAAATCAGATGACTGTTTCGATCGATAAGTCGTTGTACTTTTCGTTGGTACTTTCCATCATCTTCGTGATTTCTCAAGCTTGATAATTCACCGTCCTCGTTCATAAGTTTTCTTTTACTATAGCTGTCGTTCAAAAACATTACGTCCAGGTCTTCGCAAAATTGTCTCGAACGTCGGTCGCCTCGATTCAAGATCCATACCGATCTGCAACGCTGCATAATTCCACCTTCAGATAGCAGCACCGAGTCTGTTTTCTCGAGCACTCGGCTATGCACAATCATCATCTTGGAAGTCTCTCTCTCTCTATCACTGCCGTGCACATGCACTCTTAGCTCCGTATCCGCGTACATGTATTATATCGGCTCGCGCGCTCACAAGCCGAGGCGGCCTCGACAGATTACCTAACGGCGAATCATAAAATGCGCGCGTACTTGCACATCCTGATTCGTTGCAGATACGTGCGCGCTTGGCTGTGTGCCTTGTGTACTATATCCACACACACACACACACATTTTTTATAAATGCATACGAGCCTTATATACGGAGGCAAAGAAAACGAAACGCATCCACATAGGCAGAAGATAGGCAGAGAGAAAAAAAAGCATGTGTGTGCAGTACGGAAGCTCTCGATTCGCCCGAGTAAACCTTAGGTATACGGCGCGCAGCCTTTACCGTTTTTTTATATGCATAATGTACGATATACCTTCTCTCTCTCTCTCTCTCTCTCTCTCTCTCTCTCTCTCTCTCTCTCTAAAATAAAAAAAACGCTGCGGCGAGCGCACGATATCGTTGATTCTTATACGATGAAGTATAAAAAAAAATAAAAGAGAGAGAATAGATATATTTAATAGGATAGGAGAATTACTATTCTGCAGCCCGACTAGACCGTCAACCATAAATCCTTTATTTTTTCGATCGGACGCTTATTAATTATTAAGCATTTACTTGGGCTTCGAAGCGCTCTCATCATCACGTGTGTCTGTACCTGTGATTATTGCTGCTGCTGCTTCATCATTTAATAAACAATAGAAATCAATAATTAGATGGTCGCGGAATTTTAGTACGTGAGAGATAGTGCGCGCGATCGAGAGACGCGATGACGAACCGCGGCAAAAGTGCATTTAATTAGTCGCAGCAGCATCAGACGCTGTTGAATAAACAAAATCGTGTATAGCCCGCAGTGTGTGTTAAAAAACAAAAGTTTCATTTTTATAACCCAACGACGCTACCTATATATAATACCACTGGTGCCTGCTAGCTGCTAGCTGCTATCGCTCGCGCAAGTTCTATGTGTGTGTGTGTGTGTGTGTGTGTGTGTGTGTGTGTGTGTGTGTTATACGTGTGTCCCATTTAAAAGAAAAAAAAAATTTGCCGACTGGCATATATCTATCTAATGCACACACATATGCCGGAGTTCGATTTCGCGCTGATGCGTTGTTATTTTCGTTCTTTTTATTGTCCTTCCTCTCTCCCTCTTTCCTCCTTGATATATTTATTATCATTATTATTACCATTCCTTTTTTTAATCGCTCACAGCGCCCAGTCGCGGTCGTCGTCTTGCTCTTTTTTTTTCCTGTTTTCATAAGTTTTGAAAGTATTATTATGCGGTACTTGAAAATAAACCGCTCTGGCAAAGGCTGATTTTTTTTTATCGCCACTATAATGCACACACAAACACACGCACACAGACGTGTGTACGTATGAACGTGCCTCTGCGCTTTCGCGACGACGACGCGTGTCGCCCCGCGAGCACATTTCGGCCGAACGAACATGTTTTATCAACCTGCATACAATTGATTTCGTTATATCGCGCGTTTCGTTATACATACATATATTGAGAAATTTCGACGCGTGTGTGCTGCTGCTGCTGCTGCTGCTAGCCCGCGTGCCCAGTACAGCTCGAGAATTGCTAATTATTTAGCGCGCGCGCAGCGCAACAGTGTGCTGCAGCAGTTATAGGAAAATTTTCGTATATAATATGCGTGCGAGGCAGCAAGAGTCGCGCGAGCTCGCAGCTCTATAACGGTACGTCCTTCGCGAGTCCCTCTTTTTCCTCGCGTATACGAGTGCATACACGTCCACCTAGCCTCGAAAAGGATTATTTTTCATTTAAAATACACCGAGTCATTGCTTCCTTCTCTTTCTTTCTAGCTTATACGTAGAGGCCTATGGCTCGCTCTCGGCTACATATATAGCTCTCGGTCATATCATAACATTCCTTTAAGAGAGTCGAAAGAGAGAAGTAGTGAAGCAACTACTCTCCTCTCTCTCTCTCTCTTCGCTCTGTGTGCGTGAATGCCATTCCGCGGCGCAGCATACATTTTATATATCCTTTTCTATATATAACTATGAGGCCCTGTAACGCAAAAGGCGCAGGCACACATATAGAGAGAGAGAGAGAGAGAGAGAGAGAGCGCAAAGTAGGACCATCGCCGAGCAGCAGCGTCGACTTCTTCTGTCCCTCTCCTCTCTCTCGCAGGTATTCCTCCTCTTCTCCTTCTATACACGAGCACATGCTCGCGACGTAACATGTATGTGTGTGTGTATACACTTGAAGAATGCTCAGGCATGCAGGTCTATCCCCCATACCTACG